ATTTGTTACTCCAGTGCATCTACAAGCATTGGAATCACCAGAAAATCTTGCTCTTGACTTTCACCTGAATTTATTAATAAGAGTGGCTTTAATCTACTCTGTAGTTATTTGGGGATTTCTATAAGAGATATGACCTTCATGGTCGTGGCAAGTCATGAATGTAGTAGTTAACTAACCAAAGTATTGGTATCTTCATTCTTATCTTTCCCTTTTCATGTCTTGTTGTCTTCCTTACTTTTCTTTCTATTGCCAATTGTCCATCTGCCATGATTCTCTATTCAAAGCTTTTCACTTGACTGCCTTTAAGCATAAACATCCATCAAAAACCAAGAGCAGACTCAAAAACAACAGAGCCTGGTCTCCAAGGAGGAGCAACGCTGACAACATAATTCATACATGAAAACACTTTTTCAACGCAAAATTAGAGACATTGCAACACTACCAGCTTGGTATTTTTATACCCATTTTACAGAAAGCTAAAGAAAGGATAGAGAGACTTAATCCTGAAATGGATTTGAGCAAGTGTTTGTTTAGTTCATTAATGCAGGTTCAAACTCCCTTTCAGGCCACCGTCTACCAGACGTATGCAATCTCCTCATCTGGATGTAGACAGATCCTGAGTGTTTAGCTATTCAGTAGCCAAACAGCTGTCAATAAGTGGATATTCCATTCACCATTACAGGTATTGCACTGTATTCTTATAAAATATTAAGTCTGTGTTCACCAGGGTAGTTGAATCACTGCTTGTAGTGGGTTTGAAACTGAAAAAAAGGACTAAAGTCTAGAAAAAGGGACTAGGCATTCACAGCACACACCGTATTTAATTATGCGCCCCTTATAGTCACTTCTCAGGAAATAAATAAATAAATAAATATCCTCAATCTGTTTGTTGTTTCAGTTCATTTTAGGGTGACATAAACAGCTTTCAGTTCTTTACATTCTGCACAAGCCTCCAGAAATATTCAGTGTTTACTAGAGCTTGGTAGTGTTAAATCAAGTATGACTATCACCCTTTAAGGCCTAAATGATGGAGCGATATCCATACCAATAACACATTTTGACAGTGTTGACACCTGCTTACATCAAAGCAGTTTACTCACTCTTATAAACCTGTGGGAAAGGGCATTAAAACTTAATAGGAATAGAAGGAATTAACTTTGATTTTCAAAAGTTGGTGTTTTCATTCATCATGTCCAGCCTCTTGATGAATTCTGTAGCATATTCTACAGCATAGCTCATGAAAGATAAACAGCTGGATGGGGAACTCGATTAAACTACTCTCTGTCATCATATTGGCTGTGTAACTGGAAATGGTTGTGCAACTGGAAACGGACAGGAAATTATACTACCTAACTCTGAAGGGAGAACAATCCCAAAATAAACTCAGCAATTGGTGAGAACCAAATACATCTTATTAACTTATTTTGATCACCTACAAACTTTCACGGAATTCAAACATGACCAAAACTTTGCAGAAACTGGGTATTTTTCTTCTGTTAACGGATTTTAAGATCAGACACATTGAATGCTGTAGCAACTGTGATTGTTAATAGTTTTTATTGGGTCAGTTAAAATAACAGCATTGCACCTGGGGAGTAGATAAAAAATGTTGTGTCCCAGATGATAAGACCCCTGTTTCCATGTAGGTCATCAGCCCTCGCTTCTTTGTGTAGTAGGCAGCTTGTCAAAACAGCAGCAATGTCCTACCACCCTCTAATAAAAGCCAGAATAGTAGAATGGTTTGGGTTTAAGGAAGGGACCTTAAAAAGCTCATCCAGTTCCAAACCCCTGCCATGGACAGGGACACCTTCCACTAGACCAGGTTGCTCAAAGCTCTGTCCAACCTGGCCTTGAACACTGACAGGGATGGGGCAGCCACAACTTCCATGGCCAGCCCTTGCCAGCGCCTCACCATCCTCATAGTGAAGAACTTTTTCCTAATATCTAATTTAAATCTCCCCTCTGTCAGTTTAAAGCCATTCCTCCTTGTCCTATCACTACATGCCCTTGTAAAAAGTCCCTATCCAGCTTTTTTGTGCCGGAGAGCCATGTGTTAGAGGAGATGTGAGAGCTGACCAAATCTCAGCGCTTCGCCTCTCACGGGATGCTTTCACTTTGCCACCCTCCCTTCCAAACGGGTCTTCAGTGATGAGTTTTCACAAGCCCCACTCGGCCGCGGGGCGTGCAAGAGCAGGCGCGGCCCGAGCCGAGAGCGGGAGCTGTCCCTTCAGCACCACGGGCCACCCTAGCCGCGAACACCCGGACTCGAACAGGTACCCGTGGCCACGGCCAGCCACAATCGCCTTCGGTGCAATGAAAGCCACAGCGGTGTGAATCGATCCGATGAAGGGGTAATCGCTTCAGACATGTTGCTAGCACGGCAGTATCAAGGAGAACAATTAAGTTAGACATAAATTAGTCTGCTGTCATACGCGCATTGCTAGACCTTGTGTTCCACTGATTCTTATCACACTTCTCTGAGGAGAAGCTTTGTGGAGATAGGTGTACCACTCTAAATTAGGCAACGAAGGGTTTCATTCACTCTGTTTTAAAAATCAGCCTGCAATGCTTAGTTAGATGCACTTTTGCAGGAGCACTGGTTGACTACAGCACGCTCACAAGTGCACACAACACTGCATGTGCTCCTCCAAGTATGGAAGGATGCAGAGGGAGAAGGAAATCTGTGTGAGAGCATACACACAGATTAAAATTCAGACTCGCAGAAGATTAACATGAACATTTAAGATCACTGCCCTATGAATCACAGAAAAGAAATCTCTTATTTTCCAGAGAACTTAAATACAGGAAGTAATTTTTTCCCCTCTATGAACCAGATTATTTTAGGATAAAGTAGAAATTAAAGAACAACCTTCCATGCTCACTTTTACAGACTACCAGTCAATGAGACACCATCACAAAGCTCCTTTAGTACTGAAGAGATGATACACAGAATAGAAGACGCAAATAGTAACTATTAATAAACTTTCAAAAGATGGATCCTCCCGGAGCAGAGTTTCCCAAATGAACAGTTGTTAAGGAACGTCTGTTTTTCCGCACCATTCTTTATTACCACTCTTCCTCCCAGTGGTTCCCTGTTGCTATACACATCTTAAATTTAAACAATTCTAACATCCCAAAGCGCCTCCGCCTACAGAAACACATGCCATGCTCTGCACGCTGAGGTGCTCCGAGCTTCCTAAACAAATCCCAGCTCTTTGCAGGAGAAAATGCTTCAGCTTCCCAAGCAAGTTGGGCTTGTTTCCAAGTAAAATATAACCAAAACAGCAAACTACCCTTTCTACCTGTCACCAACTGAGCTTAAGAACATAGAAAGTGTAGAAGCCACCTCTTGGGTGGGAGTAGCAGGCACCGTGAGTACATAGGCGTGTGCGTGGAAGCCTCGTAAATCCAGAGGGGCATGACTGGACGGTACACACTCAGCACAAATACATGACAAGAGACTGATGGAGGAAGAGATAATCAGTGACTAAAGGAGGAAGGGCAGTTCTGACATCGTAATGAACAGTAGGTAATCTAAGTCAGTAGCCAAAGTCACATTCTACTCCAATTCCACAGCCTGTTAGTACGTGTATTTTATATAATATAGCTAATAACAGAAAATAAGAGGAAATTTTCCCTTTAAAATCTTCTTTTTATATGGGCAAATAGGCTTTATACTATCAGATTGTCCTTCAAAGAATATTTTTTACCATCCAGGTATAATATAATCAAGTACACATGTAAGTAGACCCTGCTCAAAGGGTATTCCATATCATGTTCTGCTGAAAGCTACCTGTCTTCAGGTGGCAATGCTCAAATTTCTTGTAACAAACCCAAAATGGTAAAACAATTGAGTCCTGTACTAATAAGAGAGCTGGTGTTTCTTGTCCTGCTCCATACAATGCACTATCAAACAGCCGCTGAGTTGGAGAGGTCTTTCCAGATCTCCCCAGATTCAAGGGGGTGAACACTGAGAAGCGCTGGGAGAAGAACATTACCAAATGCTTCCATCCTTGATGGATACAAAAACACTGAGGAAGGAACCAAGCCAGAGCTGGAGTCGTGGCACAGTTCTGCGTGCACACCACAGCCTCTCGTTATCCTGGTATTTATTGTATGGCAGGGAAGCAAACTTGGTGTGAAATGCTCTGCTGTAACTGTGGGAAGCAGAGCAGTACAAAATGACAGCCTGTGGCTGTGTCCACTGACTGTACCCTGACTGTCTTGGGAAATGGCATGTCTGGGAAGCTGGGCAGCACGAATGTGACAGCAGACATCATTCTACCTGTCAGACCATGTGCCCACAAAGAGCAGACGCAGACTGTGACCTGTTGGCACAGCCAACTCTCCAGCTGCAGTAAAAACTTCAGGAACACTCTGGGAATGCCCAGGAGAGGCCCAGCGATGGGACCACATCTGTGGGAATCCCCTCCGTAGCCCTGCCCAAGACCAAAACTAAGTTTATGAAAGCAGGGCTATGTGTGGCTACACACAGGGCTTTCCCAGCTGATCCAGAACCCATGCTCTCATCATTTCCATTGTCATCCAAATGCCATTTGTCTGAGTTTTCCCTATATCTCTTTAAGCAAAGGTGCAAGGAGAAGCATGGCAACAGGGCCTCCGTCTTCCTAAAGGGAACACCAGGAGTGTCACCCTGCCTTTTCCCCCCTCCTCCCTGACACCCAAGCCACAGTTCAATGGTAGCCAACTGGCCAGCACCAATGCCCCCAGCCAGGCCTGCCTCACTCCTCTCTATTACCACTCTATGGGGGGACACAGGTTCTGTCTCTAAGAGTTAGAGGTGTAGGACACTGCCAAATCCAACAAGTGCCCATGAAGAGCAATGAATTACATAACACAGGAGGGAAGCCAAAAAAACTCATCCAAGCACAGAACTCTTCCCCTGCCCTGCTGCCCCCTGCCCTTTCTCCCAACCAGGGGGGGTTTCACCCCAGCCCTCACCCTTGCCCCAGAGAACCTCCCGGAGGGCAGACACTCACCGATGGTGGTGATGACCGTGATGGCAAAGTAGAAAGAGCCGGCGAATTTCCACTGTACACCGGCCCGATGTGGTTCGGACTGCATGATCACCAACTCCAGCTGCCGGTAGTCCTCGCTGGTGATGTTGTACTTTCCTTTGAGCCGGATCTCCTCGGCTTTGAGTTTCTCCTCCTCCCGCATCTCGTTGTCGGACTCCAGGGCATCAAAGACGGCAGCCCCGACCAGCAGGTAGGTGAACGTGCAGATGATGAGGGACAGGGTCCGCACGTTCTGCCTCTTCATGGCCGCCAGCAAGGGGCGAGTGAGGGGACCATGTCCCCCCCTGGCCGCCCGGGGATCCGACAGGCCGCAGCAGCCGCAGCAGCGGGGCAGCTGCCGGCGGGGCTGCCGGCGCCCGCCGCTGCCGCTGCTCCGGGGCAGCTTGTGCTGCTGCGGCGGCCGCTCTCCGCCCGCCTGCTCGGGTTCCTGGGAGGAGGAGAGGCACAGGAGGCTGCTGGAGCGCCGGGACCAAGTGCCCTGGAGCCGGGAAACTCTGCGCAGGACCTGCCCAAACCAAGCCGTCCCAGCGCGCAGGGCCATCCAGGGCACCCCCGCTCCTCCCCAGCACCGCGGCCAGGGGCAGGGGGTCCCCGCCGCGGGGAGGAGGCGCTGGGCTGCGCCCCGCCGGGGAAGGACCGGCAGCCCCGAGCCGGAGTCCTGCGGCCGGCGGGTCCCCCCGCGAAGTTGGCGCGTCGACGCGGGAAGGGTCCCCCGCAGCCCGGGCGGGGCGCGGCGGGGACGCGGAGGCCGCCGCCGTCCCAAGTTTCTTCAGGCGGCGCAGAGGGGCCGGGGGGGGCCGGGCGGCGGCAGCCCGCCCATCCGCGGGGGGCCGCGCAGAGGGATGAGGGGCGGTGGGAGCCCGGGCTCCGTCCGTCGGGGGAGGCCCGCAGGGGCCCCGACCCGCCCCGGTCCCGGCTGCCTCGGGGGAGCGCCGGCCGGGCGGGTCGGGACGGGCTGAGCGCTTTATTCCTTCCGCCGCGGGGCGAGGCGTGCGGCGGGGAGCCGGGCTGCTGCAGGTGGCCGCGGTGCGGGCAGCGGAGCGGTGTCCGGTGCGGTGAGGGCGGCGGCGGCGGTGTCAGGCGGCGGGCGGGGAGTTGGGGACAGCATCCCCGGGCGCGATCGGCCGCGCCGCCGCTCCGGCGGGAGGCGGGAGAGCCGGGCCGCCGGCGTGGCCCTGGCGGCGGGGAGCCAGCGCCCCGCGGGAGGAGCGGCGCGGAGCCGCCCCGGCCGGCGGGCGGGTGATGGGGATGCGAGAGGGCAGCGAGGAGCCGGCGGCCGCCGAGGCACCTGCCCGGGGCAGCGGTGGGGCGGGCGCTGCCTCCGGCTTCGGGCTGCGGGGAAGGAAAGGAGAAAAAAAGCCGGCGGCTTCCCCGGGGAGAGAGCGAGGAAGGGGCTCGGCCCCAGGCGGACACAAAGGCAGGGATGAGGAGGAAAAAATAGGGGGAAAAAGGAAAAAAAAAACAAAAGAAGGCAAAAAAAAAAGGTACTTTCGCGGCTGCTCCCCCGGCGCGCGGGGCTGGGGCTGCTTTATTTCGGATGGTTTTAGAACAAAGCCGTTAAGAAAAAGAGCGGCCGTCCTCCTCCTCCTCCTCCTCCCGAGCTCTTGACATCATCTCGGGGAGAACCGAGCCCGCGCCCCTCGGTCATCGCCTGCCCGTGTCTGTGTGTGTGTGTGTGCGTGTGTGTGTGTGCGTGTGTGTGTGTGTGTGTGTGTGTGTGCGTGTGCGCTCCGGTGCGGGAGGCGGGAGCTGCCCCGGCCGCCACGGGGACCGCGTTAACCCCGTCGGCGCCGCCCTGCCTGGGAGAAGCCGCGGAGCGGCCCCGGCGCGGCGCTTTCCCGCCTCCCCCCTGCTTGGCCACGCCCCGGCCGAGGAGCGGGGCCGGGCGGCGGCGGCGGCGGGGCGGGATCGTGGCGGCTCCGCAGGGACGGAGCGGAGCGGGGGAACGGGACAGGTGCGGGAGCGGCGGGGACGGGGCGGGGATGCACCTCAGGGAGCGCCCGCGGGAAGAGGCACCGCGGCACCGTGCGGGGATCGACCGAAGGCAGCGCAGAGCACGGCCACACACACAGCAGTGACACACCATGGACCATGGCACACACACTGCAGTGACACACACCATGGACCATGGCACACACACTGCAGTGACACACACCATGGACCATGGCACACACACTGCAGTGACACACACCATGGACCATGGCACACACACTGCAGTGACACACACCATGGACCATGCACAAGCACTGCAGTGACACACACCATGGACCATGGCACACACACTGCAGTGACACACACCATGGACCATGCACAAGCACTGCAGTGACACACACCATGGACCATGGCACACACACTGCAGTGACACACCATGGACCATGGCACACACACTGCAGTGACACACCATGGACCATGGCACAAGCACTGCAGTGACACACACCATGGACCATGGCACACACACTGCAGTGACACACATCATGGACCATGGTACACACACTGCAGTGACACACACCATGGACCATGGCACACACACAGCAGTGACACAGACCATGGACCATGGCACACACAGAGCAGTGACACACACCATGGACCATGGCACACACACAGCAGTGACACACACCATGGACCATGGCACACACACTGCAGTGACACACACCATGGACCATGGCACACACACAGCAATGACACAAACCATGGACCATGGCACACACACTGCAGTGACACACACCATGGACCATGGCACACACACAGCAGTGACACACACCATGGACCATGGCACACACACTGCAGTGACACACATCCTGGACCATGGCACAAGCACTGCAGTGACACACACCATGGACCATGCACAAGCACTGCAGTGACACACACCATGGACCATGGCACACACACTGCAGTGACACACACCATGGACCATGCACAAGCACTGCAGTGACACAGACCATGGACCATGGCACACACACTGCAGTGACACACCATGGACCATGGCACACACACTGCAATGACACACATCGTGGACCATGGGCACACACAGAGCAGTGACACACATCATGGACCATGGGCACACACACTGCAGTGACACACATTGTGGACCATGGCACACACACAGCAGTGACACACATCATGGACCATGGGCACACACACTGCAGTGACACACATCGTGGACCATGGCACACACACAGCAGTGACACATCATGGACCATGGCACAAGCACTGCAGTGACACACATCGTGGACCATGGCACACACACTGCACTGACACACACCGTGGACCATGGCTGCACGCACTGCACTGACACACATCGTGGACCATGGGCACACACACTGCACTGACACACACCGTGGACCATGGCTGCACGCACTGCACTGACACACATCGTGGACCATGGGCACACACACTGCAGTGACACACACCGTGGACCACGGCACACACACAGCAGTGACACACACCGTGGACCATGGGCACACACACTGCACTGACACACACTGTGGACCATGGCACACACACTGCAGTGACACACACCGTGGACCATGGCACACACACTGCAGTGACACACATCGTGGACCATGGGCACACACCATGGACCATGGCCGCACACACTGCAGTGACACACATCACAGACCATGGGCACACCATGGACCATGGCCACACACACCACAGTGATACACATCATAGAGCATGGCCACACACCAGAGACCATGGTTACACACACCACAGTTACACACAGCACAGACCATGGCTACACGCCAGAGACCATGGCTACACACACCGCAGCTACACACACCACAGTTACACACAGCACAGACCATGGCTACACGCCAGAGACCATGGCTACACACACCGCAGCTACACACACCACAGTTACATACACCAGTTACACACACCACAGTTACATACACCAGTTACACACACCACGGTTACATACACCAGTTACACACACCACAGTTACATACACCAGTTACACACACCACAGTTACACACACCACAGACCACAGCCACACACACCACGGTCGTACATACCACAGTCCCGCAGCTACACATACCATGGCCGTATGCACGATAGACCATGGCCACACACACCACTGCTAAACAAACTACAGCCCCACACACCAGAGCTACACACACCACAGACCAGGGCTACACAGATCACGGCCACACACACCACAGCTCCATGCATGTACATACATCCCTTTTATGTATGCGTGGCCTCAGGCTGTGCCAGGGGATGTTTAGATTGGACATTAGGAAACATCTATTCACGAGGAGGGTGCTCAGGCATTGGAACAGGCTGCCCAGGGCAGTGGTGGAATCACTGTCCTGGAAGTGTTCAAAGACCATTTTGATGAGGCTGTTAGTGGTGTGGTTTAGTGGTGGATTTGGCAGTGCCTGGGTAACGGTTGGACTTGATGATCTAAAAGATCTTTTCCAACCTAGTTGATTCTATGATCCATACCACTATGGCCATACCTACCACAGCCCCACACATCACATCTCCCCAAACCCAGCCCTACTCACCACATCCCACCACAGTCCTTGTCCAAACGCCGGACAGCGTCACACCTACCAAAGCCCACCACATAACACACAGCCATACATGTACCACCCAACCAGCCACAGCCCTTTGCATACCACCCCCATCCCACACAACCACACAGCCCCTTCCCCAACCGCACCATAACCTCCCCTAGCACAGGTACACACAGCACCATGTTCACGCACACAGTGCCACATTCCCAGTGGCTCAGAGGCACCAGCACCATTGTCTTCTGAGCCACCACCCTGCTGCAGGGGCTGCAGTCCCCATGGCTTCTCTTTGCCCATGGTGAACCCCATGCCATCCCTTGCATCCTGCCCTGCTCCTCTTGGCTCTCCTCTCGCCCACTTCACTGCTGGATTTCCAGCCACAGGTGCTGCCACAGAAGCCTGAGGCTGCTTTCATGTATGCCCCGAGACAGGGCTGTCCCTTCTGGTGTCAACATGGTAGCTGTAGGCCTCCTCCTGTGTAGGAGCTGGGATTTTCAACCTTACTCAACTTCTGTGAGCCTCAGGTGATGTTCCCTCATTTTAGCTCTTTCTCTAATTCTAGGACCCTGGGGCTCATTACTGTCATCCTCCATCCTTAAAATCAGCTCCATCTGTGTCATTCCTGACTACACTTGTCCAAGGCCTTTGGATACCCTTCCTGAGATGGAAACAGATTTGCAGAGCATTGCACATGGACCAAATCCGTGGGCTGAGAAGGCAGTCTCCGAGATTGAAGCCCTCTGAAAAGTGTGCCTCAGGCTGAGCAGACAAAACAGGTCACAAAGCCCTTTGTGAAACTGTTGGACACAGGGAGGAGGAGGAATTAATTTCATTAATTCAGCAAACAAGATTTCACCCAGGGCAAATTCCGCATCACATCACCTAAACATTACCAGAATCATTGCAGCACCACATGGAGCAGGAAGGTCTTGCCTGCCAAGGGAAGCCTGTACATAACAGCAACAGGGGAAAGGAGGGGAAAAGAAGAAGAAAAGAGGAAATATCTGGTTTTGATCGCCTCCTTAAAAATAGAAGTCTGGTTCCCGTTGCCCATTTCTGATTCCCCAAGGGAGAGCAGGAGAAGAAGAAGAATCTATAAATAGTTTGCAACACAGAGAATCCTATAGCAAAGTTGCTGGGAAGGATCAATATCATCATTCAAGGAGGCCTCCAAATTACATCTCAGGGGAGGGAGGTGCTGAACAGAATTGATAAATGAGTTGCAAATGCTGTGTGTGTTGTGTCTATCTAATTAACAGAGGGTGACTGGGATCAATAGCAACGAAGGAGCTGGGCTAAAAATAGCACTCAAGCAGGGATTGCAACCTGCGGGCAGCAGCTTGGATGGAAATATCCCCTGGAGTAATTAACCTTTAGCTGGAAAATGGTGGTTAGTGTGGGGTAAAAGTGGGGCAGCTGAGAAAGGACGGGGTCTCAGTGGGACTTAAGAGCAAAGTGTAGTGTGATTGTCATGGATGGTACAGGGGCTGCTGCCTTCCTCTGATCAGGCTGCAGTGTCAGGCTGCAGATTGATGTAGTGCTTGCTGGAGAAAAATCTGAGTATTTGCATTTTGCTGGGGTTGTAGAACAGGAAATATTTGTAGTTCTGTGTACTTGCAAAGGTTTCAACATTGCTCAGAGAAAAATCACACTCAGTTTTTAAACATCTATTTGCATCTACATCCTGCCTTTTTGCTGACCTTGCTGCTGAGAAAATACTCACCTGAGGACCAGTCTTTATGCATCCAGGCTCACCGGCACAAGCCTCTGTTTGAACTACAGAGCAAATAATGCCTAAAGAGAAGTCATTCAGTCCTTCCATCAACAACAGTCAGGCAAACTTCAGGGAGAAGGATTGACATTGGACAGGATGATCAATGGCTCTGCTGCAGTGCCAGGCTGTGCTGGCATCACTCAAGAGAGAGACAGAGACACATGCACTGAGCAGCAGAAAGTTCATTGTGAGCCTGAGTGGAGGATAGGGACCCAGGGTGTATAGCATGACTGAAAGAAAAGGAAATTGTAAGGATGAAGAATCTAGAAAATACCTCATTGTAAAGCTGGTGTGGAAAGGATTGGAGGGGTAAAGGATGAGTGAAAAGCTTTTCTCTCTTTAAAATAGATGGAAATGGCTAAAAAGATCTTTTCTGCCCAAAGGATTTCTCCATGAGGTAAAAAAAGAAAGTAAATTGTTTTATTCTGTTGTAGATGGGGCTACTGAAGGAGTGCAACTTGTTTAGTCACCAAAAGGAGGGTTAACTCGAAGTGTCAGCATATGTCTTGGCTCCTCTTGGTTTAGTCTAGCTTGAGGAAGAGTAAGCAGGTTGTAAGATAGCCCTGAGCTGTGTAGTGGTTGCCCTGGCAGCTGTGCTAACCCAATGTTTCGCCTACTCTCTCCACAAAAAGCCAACAGGAGTTAGAAGTCTCCCACGTTCAAGGTAAGAGCGTGTGGGTGCTGTTGTATTATAGAAGCTCTCACATTTTACCTTGAATTCACTCTGCAGTGAAGGCAAGAGCTAGTTTCAACTGGTTCCTGAGTCTCTTCTGTGGACCTGTCCAGTCACTCCTGTTGACGTGCCAGAGGTGCTCCTTGAGAGAGATCTAATGCCTCTCTCTGTGCAAGAAGGGGTTGGACTCATGAGCCATCTTCCAGCTGAACCATGGCATTCACAACAAAGCAGATAAGGGAAAAAAGCCTCCAAATCAGAAAAATAACCAAAACCTGTGAACAAAACTAGAAAGAAGAAGGGCTTGATAATACATGCATAAATATATATATATATAATATGAGAAAAATGAATAAACCTATTTGTTTTTCTACAGAGGTTATCAGGAAACTATTTTATTTCCCTTGAAACAGTGGCATGATGATGGTCAGAAAGGCAGTTCTTGTCCAGGGCCAAGGTTCATTTAGCCCAAAAGGCTCTCTCCCACAGAGGCTGTAGCAGACTTGAGGGAGAAATACAAACAGAACACGTATGTGTGATTCTTTTTCCAGCACCTTAGATACTCTCCCAACCTCAGACTATTTTGATTCAGGGTTTTTTCTCAGCCTCAGTTAGTTGTTCTGTTTAGTGACCCATGATGGATCCTCCTCCCAAGCACTTGTCCTCTCTCTTCCCAAATACAGCTAAAATGTTTGCATACTCAGCAAAAATTCTCATCCTCCCCAAAGGAGGAGTTCAACAGAGCTGTTACTCAGAGCAGGAAAAGCACTCCCATTTAATTCCCTTCAATGTTCCCCATCCCCTGTGCTGCAAGAGGGAGCAAACTGCAGTTTCTCTATGCCATTCATGGAGACTTTGAATTTCAAGAAGGTGGCCCCATTTCTTAGCCACTGTCCCCCATGCAGGGGTGTAACAAGACAGCTCTGTGTGGCTTCCCCATATGTCTGCCATGGCAATAAGAGGAAGAGGCTCCTCTTACTGCATACAGAGCAAAGCAGAGGTGTAACCCCGGCTCACTTTGCCCTGTAAAGTGTCTCTATCCCTTTGGGGGATTTTTTTGAATTACTACAATGAAGGTACCATGTGAGGGACTGTCCTGTCCAGGGCCACATGCCCAAGGAAAGCAACAGATACGTATCAGTACCTGATGGGTGTTGAAATTTTCTGTGGATATTCTTTTAAGTGACGATAGGCAATTATTTGTGGAAGGTGGTCACATAGAAGGAGTGGTTGTAGCTATGCTGTTTACATGAGAGGAGTGCCTCAGATCTGTAGCAGTTCTCCATCCCTGGAAGTGTTCAAGGACAAATTGGACGGGGCTTTGAGCAACCTCGTCCTAGTGGAGGGTGTCCCTGCCCATGGCAGGGTGCTGGAACTTGATGTCTTTAAGGTCCCTTCCGGTCCAAACCAGTCTGGGATTCTATAATTTGAACAGCCAGCAAGATTGGCAGAGCATAAGAAAAACACTGCAATTTCAGGGATTAAGAATAGCTCTCCAGAGGTCCCTCAAAAAATTCTTCCCTGTAAGTCTACAAAACTCATTCATGAAATGGTCTGACCATGAATGAAGACCGTCCTTCATAATGCAGCTGCAGCATGGAGGTAAACATTGCCATTTTAAGAACCGGTTTAGTTTAAAAATGCCTGGCTCAAGGCCTACCATAGCTGTATCTGTCAGCTCTGAGGACCTTTGGATCGGTGTGTTACCAAGATGAAAAGATAATCACAAGTACTAGAGACTTTATTGTAAGGAGCCAAACTTCCTTTAGTTTCACAGGCTCCCTTCATGTCTTTTCCTTCTGCCAGCCATGTGCATTTCTATAGTCGTGGACTATGGACTTATCTGGCTGACCATGAGAGGAAGCTGAGCCTGGGTTACTAGATGAATATACCAGTGTCCTTAGAGCAGTAGCACAGGAAAATGATGGAGGAGGGAACCTTCTCCTTGCAGCTCTCATTTTATTCTTTATATCTTTTCCCCATTGATGTTCCAAGGAGAGCAACCTCTATTGGATACACTCAGGAGGGTCTCAAATGAGTCAACAGCATTCCCTTCCTCAAGCAGTGTTTAAGCAGAAGAAGGCAGAACAGGGGGACTGGTGCTTTAATTCTTGCCTCCATCCGCCTTGTTCCTGCAACATGACAGTCCTCTTGAAAGTAATCAGCAGTGACAGAAAACATGCACGAAAAGTCTCATTGACTTAGGGAGAGGGTGCTTGTGTGAAGCAAGCTCACATGTGGGAGAAAGAATAACAGGATCAGACCTACGCTTCGTATTTTTCCCCACACTCATTTCTTTTTACAGGGAATTCACAAATCTTAAATCCACCTAAGTGGCAGGAATGTGAGCATCTGGTCCAACCGAAATAGTCTCTTCTGTTCTATTTTTATATCCATGTATCATTTTTATTCTGCAGAGCTTGTGCATGGCAGAAGGGGTGAATTCACTTCTCAGTGTGCAAGCCAAAGGTCTCTTCCAGAACTGCTGCGAAGGATTTGGAAGATGTTTCACTCAAACACAGAATTTATATATAGGCACAGCGCTTTCATTAAACATGACCAGCTAAGGGGACAGCATCACTCGCTGACAGTAATGTATGCACGTCTTGAAGGCACATTATAGAGGAACAGGCTGCCTTGGAGAAATTAATACAGCAAAGGTGTTGATTATTGATGCGTTTGTTACTGAGCCGACTCCGCCTTAGTCTCCTGAGCCAGTGTGACTTCCAGATCTATTTCTAGATCACCAAATGCTCACAGTGTGACTGGCACTTTTGCATTTACTGCAGCTGATGCCTCAATGTAATATTTGATGCATACTTTAGATCATTACCTTGCATACCAAAACTGCCACTGAATGAGTCTTCAAAGAGAATCCTGGCAAAGTAGAAACGAAGATCCTTGTACTGGTACATCCTCCTCCATCATCACCAAAGGTAACTGAGCTGCAAAGATACAGAGCACTAGGAGAGACATCTTCCTATAGCAATGGGTACAGTGTTTTGATGCAACAACTTCTGAATGAACCTGTGGAAGCGTGTGTTTTGTTAAAAGCACCACCAAAGAAGGAAATTAATTGCTTAGGGGGCTTTCTTGCTAGTGAAGTAAGCTGCAACTGTTACTAATGGAATGCCACTGTAAAGGGAAGATAGGAGCTATCATGAATATTTGACATTGTCCTGTCCAGAAGAAAAGACTCCATATTGTCTGTGATATTTAAAATAAGGCTGAATAAAATGTGCTGATTTACCTTACTTCTCTGTGTTGACTGCTTCAGCAGCAGGACCTAGCTTTTATCTCCTTTGACTAAATGGTTGATGTATACATATCCTTTTTATTTGGAAGAGATTGAGTGGGCTCTTCCACACATCCTTCTATTTTTTTTTTCCCTGTTTAAGGACTCATGAATACACTCACCCTTCAGATACTTCCGTAATTTTCAGAGTGCATTTTGTTCTAGCATATATTTTTTTCTGGCCTCTATTCTCATCATTTATGACCCAACCGCCTCTCAGTAATGGAAAAACTTTTCCAACCAGCATTTTCCTCCTGCATATACCATTTTTTGGGTAGGGAATAGAGAGATTTACCAAAACCATAAAGAAGCCTGTGGCAAATAGGTTATCCAGCTGGATATCAGTCTGGATTGTTCACAAATGACAACAGACATCACCTGGTGTATCCTCACTTGCATCTCTTGCAAACCTGCCCCAGTGGTCCAAGGCCTGAACACTCCAGTGTAACTCCTGAATGCTCCAGCTATGGGTGCAGCTTTGGAGTTTGCCTAGGACACACAAGGGCCAAGCAACTCAATCTGTTGTACAGCAAGTGGAAGAGCATCTTCCCTCTTCCCCACAGACATGCTGAAAGTGTCAGCTTTATCTCACCAAAACCAGGCAGTGGTCAGGCTAACTAGTAATTAAGAAATTGATGCTAAATATTGTTATTACTGTGTCTGACTGTGTTGAAATAGAAATAAGACCATAGCAGTAGCTTAAGCCCCAGCTAATCCAATTACATTTAGCCATGCCAGAGTCTCTTACAGCTATTTTCCAAAATAAATTCCAACCTGCATAGACACACAAGGCTAAACTGTTTCTTTGAAAGGAAGATTATAGTTTTACTTGTAGAGATCAAGCAGGATATATACTCTAGTGAAAACCTTTGCTGAGAAACTCAAGAGTCAGGGCAAAGGCAGAACCATCTCATGGAGAGAATTTCTCACCACCTCATATTATCACTTAGTTTGAAACTGGAGGAGGGAGGGAAAATGAACCTTTAATAACCGCCCAGCTCTAAAATCAATTTCAGTGCTCCAGACAGCTTGTAAACACACAATATGCTTTAAAAAGGATTGATGCTGAGGAAAGTGAGGTGCATATTTTCCTGCTGTTGAAGTCAAATAAAGCTTTGAAAAAGCTTCCATTTTAGAGGGTTCATAAATGGCTATAGTGTTAAGAGCCTTCCTCTGGCTGAAGATGAAGGATTTGATTCTCAGCTCTGTTGTACACATTTAAATCAGGAGTAACCCACTGAGAGTTGACCCAGGGTACATTTGTTAGGAGAAAAGAATAGGATGAAGACTTGTATAAAAAAATTCTAACAATTACATAAATTATGATGATTTACACTTTTGGGCCAGGAGTTGAGAATCCTTTTAAAACCACAATTGATTGATGAAGCCTCACAACATGCCTGTGATTCAGTAAGGACTACACTCCGTTTGCAGATGGTTGCTCTGAAGCACAGCATTGTTATATGGTTACAAGCCCAGCAAATGAATTAGTGGCAGAGCATGAACCAAATTCAGGTTGCTATATCCTAAATATCATACAGCAGTGCTCTGGGACAGCATTTTTTCCTGGGGGTTGCTCAGTGCAGGCCAGTCTGACTGACTGAATAAGGTTATAATAGTACCTAGGGTGAGAATTTCTGTAGTTCTGTTGCTCTTGGCTATCAAAAATGACAACTTAGCATTGTCATGATGCTGCTGCCTTTATACCTGCATGGTGTCACCTCTCATCACTCTGAGACCTGTTGCTTCGCGTAACAATCCACATCCCACTGAAGTTGCTGAGGTAGGAGTTGAAAATTTATGCTTACTAGTAAGTTTAGAGAGTAATGCCAGGTTCAGTAATACCATCCTGAAGGACCAGCCACGACTAGGGAAAGCTGCCGCTGATGTCTCATAATATACATGTGCAAGAGAGAAATGATCAATGGTAGGGGCAGAATGCACAAAGAGAGTAAAGATTATGACAGTGATGGTTGTCATGCAGGCAAACTAACCTAGATGGGAGGAAAAAGCAGACTGGAAAGGTGTGGGAGACTGAAGAAGGAAGTGGGTGGAGGAACGAAGAGCTGAGGATGTGGGGCTAGGAGGGAAACGGTTGGTGCAATCAACCATTTGGCACTGGGTGAAGAAAATATGCAGTCAAAATTGCAGAAAATGTTTATCAATGTCTACTTCAGCTTTGTCTGCAGCTTCTTCAGCTGTCTGGAGATTCTGGCTCAATCCTCTTTTCATTTTTTGTTGAAGACAACAGAGAAGGGTACAGGTAGCACCTGTGTTTTACTTTCCCCATGGGACATAACAGTCTGTCATGCAATGTTCAAATTCTAGGGGATCATTGGGAAAGGCTCACTGTGTTCACTGAAGTTGCACTGTACTGGCAGACTAAAGTGGGCTCTCAGACCCTAACCGAATTTCCAGCAGGCGTCATGCCATGAAGACATTACTGTTACTAAGGCTTTTTTCCTGCATGGAATGAAACACTGCAGAGACTTTTGCCTCTGTGTCAATGGTGTGAGGGGCAAAAAGAGCCAGAGCTCCACCAGCTCCTTGGTTTTCTGGTCCCAACCTCCCCAAGTGCAACTGGAGAATCCCTGTGTGTGCTGATAGCTGAGGGGCATTAACCTTAACCTCCCAAACAACCTTTCCCACCATTCTCCTGAAAAGGCTGCTCATGACACACTGTTCAGGAGGGAAAATTGCTGTTTAAAAATACTTTTTCCAGGGATTAATTTTATGTTTACAGTAGATCTATTTCCCTACTGCTAAACTGTAGTGGCAAAGCATCTTTGCAAGTATCTGCAGACTCCTGCCTGCAAAGCAGAGCTTTGCATAAGCTTAGTAGATTTTCCCCATCAGCACAGCAAGCTGTCTGATTGCAGCACACAGATTTCACTGTATAACCGCACTGCTTTTAGGACATGGTGCCAGCATAGCTAGACAGTCACGGTTCACACCTCCTCACACCCCTGGGCAATGTCGCTCAGCCAGCAAAGAAGCTGGTGGTTAACGTTGGCCAAGTAGCGTGACTGGAGCTGGCCCTGGTTCTCCAGTGTGTGTGCTCAGGGCGCTGCCGAGCTTCTCCTCGCTGAACCTGCTCTGAAGTCACATTAAATAACAGGCAAGAGTTACAGGTCAAAACTCTATGGGAAAATGGCAAGTGGTATTTTTGGCCTGCTGAGTCAGGCACAGGAGATGGGGAAGAAGGGGGTTGGGACTTTTCCCTGAAGATCATGTCTTGGCAGGGGTAATAATTTCTGGCAGATTGAAAAATCCTGTTGGGCAGATTGGAAAGTCCTCAAAAGGCCTGTTTTGGGCAGATTGAAAAGGCAGAAATCTGAGCTCTGAATATGAAGCTGCTTGATAGCTTCATAAGACCACTTACTATCAATCTCATCCTCTTAGCAACTGTATGAACAGCAGGGCATATGATTGAATGCTTTTCATATAAACGTGAAATAAACCGCACTCCATTTCCTGCTGCAGGCTTCTTTCAACAGTAAATGTCAGGTGTGCAAGATAAAACAGGAGCTGAGATCCACTCCAGATCTTGGCATCTTCTGCATTTCAAATGTACATAGAGCTGCCTTTCCACAAGCTATACAAGACTGAATTCATCACACTTTCCAGCACAGTGCTAAGTAAAACAGAAGACTGATACACTACTAATAGTTGAGGCTTCTTAAAGCAGCCTCATCTGTTATCACATCCTCTGCCATCGTCCACCTTCTGTTCCTACATCACAGTTACTCTGGCCCTCATGCTCTATTTATCTTCCTCTTTCTGTCCTGAGTCCATGGCTATTTCCATGCTTCTCACTTTCCTGAATTCAGTTGTCCTGCTGACCCCCAATGCCACCAGCTCATGCAAGTCTGCAGTAAAAATCACTTCTACAATGGCACAAGCCAAAAGCTCCAGGCGGTCTTCATGAGATGCCACCATAGGTCAGTGTTCCTGGCTGTGCACAGGGTGACCATGCAGTATGATGCAACTCTCTGCACTCCTCTGGGTCTCAGCTTCTTCACACATGGGAAGAAGAACCTATTACCTGATGCCCAACCCAAACCTCATTTCAGGCTGATGCTTGATTCTCTGTGTGTCTTTAGGTCTAATAAATCAAAGTCTAGGTTTGGTGGAACAGGCTGGTTTCACTGGGGGCTTGCATGAGCAGAGATTGAGAATGAATGAAAAGACATTTAGGATTTAGCCCAAAGCATCTATTATGAATATGTCATTAAATCCATTCTAGCACAACTCGTGTGGTTAAGGAATGGGACAGGAGCCCCAAGCTTGACCTGGAGCTGTATCTGAGGGCCATGAGGACAGAGGAAGAATTTATTTCTGTGTAAGAACACTATTAACTGACATGCTGTCATGATGCTTTAGAGGAAAAGAGAGGGTATGATTACAGAGGGAGAGCAGGAGCCACAAAACAGCACTTTTATTTTTCAGAACCTTCCCATAGCTTGGCAAAGCAAATGACAACAGAAGTTAAAACAGCACTTTCCAATTTTCCATTTCTTATTTCCACACAATTCTTCTCTGGAACCGTAATTAGGATATTTATTTTCCTGTGTTGTGCTTTTTCAACACAGAACGTCAAATGGTTTGGTAGCAGATAGAAAAACATAGCTCTTATCTCCATATAAATATAAAAGTGCATCCCTCTGCAGGACTAGACACAGGTATTTGTGATGCTCAGAGCCACCATTACTCTATTACCTAAAAGCCTCGCATCAATGGATTTCTCCTTGCATCACTTGAGTGAGGAGAAATTCAGTCCTCAATTACTATCCTCATCACACAGACAGGGAACTGCATCTTAGAGAAATCACAGCATGGACCGCGAGCACACAGGAAATCTGTGCAGATCATAAATGTCAATCAAAAGCAATGTGGACGCAAAGGCTATGAACAGGAGGCAATCTGCCTCACCATGTACCTTTGTCTAGTACGAAGGAG